GAGCATCGTCCTCTCAACCGGCCACTGGTAACTGTTGGACGCCATCTCCTCGATAATTTCGAGCGCCTCATGTGAACTTCGTCCCAAAAGAGCGCCTCCGGCCGAAGCATCTATTATTGCCTTCATGTTTCCACTCAACCCATTGTAGAAGTAGCATATTTGATAATCCTTGGAAAACCCATGTTGTGGGCATCTCCAGAGGAGTTGCGTGAAACGTTCCCAAGCCTCATAAAATGGCTCTCCATCTTGCTGCTTGAACTGGGTGATCTCGGTTTGAAGCCTTAACATCTTGCTTGGCGGAAAAAATTTCAATAGGAATTTTCGGTGCATGTCATCCCATGAAGTGACCGTCCCGGCTCTCAACGAGTTGTACCACATCTTTGCCTTATCTCTCAAAGAAAAAGAGAAGAGACGGAGCTTTATTGCGTCCTCCGGCACTCCATTAATCCTGATCGTCCCGCATATATCCACAAATTGCGCAAGATGGGCATTCGGGTCTTCAGTTTCACCTCCCCCAAACTGCTCTTGTTGCACTATTTGAATTAATTCGGGACTCAACTGAAATGTATTGGCTGCTATCCTCGGTCCATGGTCTCCACCAAAGTATTGATTTCTCGGCGGTTGGAAAATTGATCGAATCGGGTTGCCTTGCACTGTTTGGACCTGTCGCTCGGCCACTTGACGTTGCAACTCCACCAATTGCTCTTCGAGTTGTCTTATAAGTTCCATTTGCTCGGCCATTGTAATCTCGCAAGAAAGAAAGAAAGAAAAAAATATTAGAAAAGAGAATAAATAAAATAAAATAAAATAAAAAAATTTCTAAACTAATATCTATTCGCTTTCTTCTAATATCAATTAATTCAACAAACAATCCCCGGCAACGGCGCCAAAAACTTGTTCGCTAATTATTTTTGCTATCCGCAAGTGTACGGTGTAGCTATAGGTAATGGCGAGCAAGGTCGTATTCCACAGAGACGATCAAATATTATTTAGACTAACGAACGAGATGATGATTATGAACTAGGAAATTAAACTAAGAAACTAATTGCCTAAAACAATAAAAATAAATCAAGATATAAAAGATAGATTCTAGGTTATGCTTTCCTCGAAATTAATTTATGAAACATTTATATTCATACAAACCTTATTTAATTTTACCAATCGTAGAGATAATCGCTAAATTGATTTTAACCTTTCTCTCGAACAAGCAAATCGTAGATATTAATTGTTATCTATC